ATTACAGACAGACTGACATACTGACTAACTGACATACTGACTAACTGACAGACGGTCAAACTCACGAGACGCGGTCGACCTAACCCGGACGATGTCAACTGAACCCCAATCACCGTCTAATCCCTGCCCATCCCAACCCTTCGTCGAACCGGATGTCCGGACCAGGTCAAGACTGAAGGCAACCTTGGAACTCTGGCCAATCCAGTTGCCGCGAAATGATTGTCCTCTTTAAGTCTGCGGCGCAACCGATCGGCGAAGACGCCTCGATAAATTGGCTTCCGGCTCTGCGTCGACCGGACTCACTTGTTTCGTACGTCCGGACGGCTTATCTCCATTTATTGCCACGCCCCAACCCTCGAGCCGCGTTGATTGGCTGATCGGTTGACGTCAGACCACACAACACAGTCCCAGTGGATCGTCGGACCGACAACCCGTCGCCAAGACGGTGGCCAAGTGTGGTAGTCGAAGATTAGGCGGCGTCGTATTGCCATTTGCAGATGGAAATGCGTCGATGCAAAGATTGAAAGTTCGAGACCTTTAGAAAGACTACGGATTGCTTTTAACCAGCCGTCGGTTGGTTTCATTGCAACCACCGCAAATTAGCGCCCTTCTACTGCACCAGCTACATTCATCTACTCGCCTGAAGCGTACAGTCGAATGATACCAACAAAAATATGCAGTTTTCACTTGGCTTTCGCTACCTCAACAGATTGACATACATTCTGTATGAAACATACTCGTTGCCGCGACATTTGATGTAGCTGTCAGAACATCATGGAGCATCCGAACGTTGACTTGGTGCATTGCCAAAACTGTCGACGCTGCCGTATTCGACAGGCGGCCTTAACAACGGACAACAACCAATCAATCTGCCAATGGGAGGCAAGACGAGGCAGTTCTGTGTGCACCGCCTCCGAAAAAGGATGGTGGAGACGACCACTCCCCGTCAAGTTGACTCGAAATGAAAAGGATTGACGAGGCGCCAAATGTGTGGCAGATTGATGACGTCAGCTTAGC